TCATTCAGATGGGAGTGAAGTGACTTGGGGAAGGAGAGAGTCTCTAATTTGGAGAAAGATACATATAGGCTAATGGTCCTGTACCCCCTAGGAAGATTCCTAGCTCAAAAGACTTGCTACACTTTGCCTTCATTGAGGACAGGAGTCATGTTTTATTCATCATTTTTTCCCTATCATCTAATATAGTAGCATAGCATGCATGTGAAATTGACCTTTCCCTAGCACCTCAGCAGCCACTAGCTACATGTGGCTTATTGAACACATGAAAAATGGCTTGTCTGAATTGAGATGCACTGTAAATATAGAATATACACAACATTTTGAATTTGACTAAATATAAAAAAATAAATCAGTGCCTTAATTACAAGTTTATGTTGATTACATATGGAAATGATCATTTTTATATAATGATTAAATAAAGTATATTATTAAAATTAATCTTACCTGTTCCTTTTGGCTTTCTAAATGTGGCTACTAGAAAATTTGTAATTACCTATGTGGTTTGCCTTGGTAGCTCATTTTTCTATTGGACAGAGCTGCCTTAGAATGCTGATTAGAGAAAATGTCCTTGATAACATACAATAATTATTTATATTGCTATTAATTCAATTTAATTAATATAATTCTAACCAATCTCATATCCTTTTTAGCTTGCCTTAGTTTATCTCTTTTTTCAAATTCTTTTAAAGGATTATATGGGGTATAATCCTAAATAAGATTAAAGAAGAAAATTTATGAAAAATTTATGTTCCTTCTTGGCAAAAACAGTTAAAATAAAAAAAAATATTTTTTAATCACTTGACTCTTTGCCCACCTAATCTATAAGCTTTTTATTTTAAGAAGAGAGTCCATTGCTGAAAATCTGCTAATGTTAAATAGTCTCATATGAATATAGTGGCTTATGTTTGGCACATATTTTGATTAATTTGATAATTTCAATTTATATACTGATTATTATGTTTTATTGTTTGCCTATAAATTAATGAGAAAGTAAGCATTCTAAAAGCACACTGGCAAGCTTTATTCAATCAACTGAGGGGCTTTGTTAAATACTAGTTTCCAGGTGAATGAGTTTTCCTCAGTACCACAAACTCTCCCACGCAGATGAGTAAGATGGGCCAAAGGAAGCTCAGTATACTCCATCATCCTCTACTACATCTGAACCGTTCTCATGCTAAGGAGAGGTCACCTTACTGGGAACATCTGGTTGTCAGGGCCGGGCAGGGCACAGTGAAACAGGTTGCTTTTGTATGGAAGTGCATGGGTATATTTGTATGTATGTTTGTGTATGTGTTTATTGCAATCAGTAATCATGCCAAATACTTGGATCCATGAGCCACTCTATTTTACTTGAGTATACAGAAAGAGTTAAGAGTTTTATTAATTAAATAAAATGTACCCAAGTTATTCTGAAATTTAATGAAATGCAACTGTTACTGTGATGCATGGTAATCAGATCTAAGTCACAGGAAATTTTTAAAAGATTGTCATTTTGTCAACATTAATTTTTACACAGTTGAATCTAATTTTTAAAAACTTCTCTATAATCACAAAGTCTTCCCTGCATCAGAACCATTCTCTCTCTCCCTCTCCATCTCCTCCCTTTCCATTTCCCCCTGCCCTTTCCAAAGACAGAGACCCCCGAGTCTGCCTAAGCATCTCCAGTCATCCACCCTCTCCCGCTTTCCACCCGAGGCAGGGTTTCCCTACACTCTGCAGACCTTGAAGCCACACTTAGTTTGGGCCTTAGATGTGCATCTGCTGTTATATTTCAAGGGATCTTTTTTTTTTTTTAATTTTTATTGGGCTTTAGGGGATGGGATGGGGAATACCTCTGTAAGTTATGCCCCAATAGGAAGATGTCCGTTCTAACTTTCCTGGGATAACTTTCGGAGCCTTTTCTCTTTCTTGGAGCTGCTGCTCTTGCTGGCCTCTTCAGGTCCACTGCTGAGTGGCTCTTCCTTGGAAGACAATTTCCGCTTTTCTTGGGGACCCTTTTGTTTTCTGACTCATTAGGGTCACTAACTGGTTCTTCTTTGGGAAAAGATTTCTTCCTCTTGGGAAGAAATTCCAGTGCCAGCTGTCTCTTCAAGATCACTACTAACTAGCTCTTCCTTGGAAAAAGATTTCTTTTTCTTGGGTTTGGAAAAAGAGACAGATGGGTCTTCCATTCCTTTCTCCAGAGGAGCCTCCTGGGGCTTTTGCTTTTTCTTCTTTTTGGGTCTTTCACTTGTCCCCTCACACTCCTCCAGGGCACTACTATTTTCTGAAGAAACCAGGGCAATTGCAGCCAGCCTTTTCAAACTTCTTTAAGCGTTTCTGAAGCTTCCTAGTAATCTCAGCAGACGCTTCCTCTGCCTGAACCATTGCCTCCTTCATGACATCCAGATTCTTTCTGGGAATCTCTCCAGTCTCATAGAAGGACAGCTGCTCCTCAACTTGTTCTCAAAGCTTCTCCCCAAAAACACTGGTGGGCATCTCAGAGAAGCAATTGATTGGTGAGACAGTACTGCATTTGTTTGCCAGGTATCGGGAGATGCGGCCTTTGTTCTTGGCAGCTGCTCGGCCAATGAGGGTAGAGTGGAGAATGAGTCCGTATTTTGGGGTGTTAGCCCTTGTCTTCAAGGCTCTGGAAACTTGGTCCCTTTGCTGGACCCAGGGAATCACTCAAACACCAGGACTGCTCAAGGGATCTTTATAACATCCCCGATCCTGTTAGCATGGGATAGAAAGAAGAAACCCAGGTGTGGCGTGAAAAAGTGGTACCCCAGCGAGAGAAAGGATACATGTCAATGGTTCTGGAACCCTAGCATTTGGGGTTCCCTAGCATTTGACCCCGAGTTTGGGATGAGAGAGTGTAGACATGGAGATAGAGGATGAGGAGAGAAGGGGAGCAGACCATCTGCGAGGCCCAGCACCTCTGTAAGAGACCCAGGTATCTCTTTATATCCCTGGGGTACAGCTTTTGATCGTTTTAGTCCAAGTTCTCCCTCTTCAGGGTAGCCGGGAGCTAGACACACAGGGGGGACAGAGGCACGCAGACTTTCCTCCTCCACCCTCACAGGTCAAGCAAGCTACCTTCCAGGAGGAATCCGAAAGTTTAGGGCCTACTCCAAACCCTGTCACTTTCTAGCTGTGTGACTTCAATAGTCACCAACCTCTCTGAGCCTCATTTTCCCCATCCACGTTTTCCCCATTGGTGAAGTGGGAGAATGATACTCTCCATCATCACACTTGTGGGGGTTTAATACAATGAAGCACCCAAACATTGCTTAAAGCAGAGTAGGCTCTTGACAAAAGTTCTTTCTTTTCCTCAGGCCTGAGGCATGAACAATCTCCCGCCCTCTTTCCCCATTTCCTGCTGTCTCCAATTTTCCCCACCTGTATTTATTTCATTTCACTTCTGAGGATCAGAGTGTTAAAAATAAATGCAGAGGGGGTTGGGGGTGGGTGAGTGTGGGACATGAGGTAAATGAAAGCCTTGCTTCCTTCCAGGTGGCATGCAGGAGGGAGCGTCATGGTGACAGGTAGAAGTATCCCAGTGTCTTCGGGGCATGTCCCATCGTTTGTCCTTTGTGGACTGGGAGCTGCGACTCTCCTTCCCAGGGCACCTAGGGCCTCTGACCAGACACTGCCCTGACCACTGGATCTAGTGGGCTTTCAAAGGTTCTGTAGAGGGAACCCCTATATCATACTTTGGGACCAGTCGAGTTAACTGAGATATTTGGTGTCTGGTGGAACAGTTGCTGCACCTTATACATTTAGCCCATCACTTGGTTAAGAGGTACAGGCTCAACTCTAACGAGATGCTAGACTTATCACTAGATTGCAGTAATCCTCTCCCCAAATCCATCTCTGGGGTTTGAAGAAAGCAGGCTGACACTAAACATGAAATTCATTCCCTCGTAGCATCTTGGACCCATAGGATATACCAGGTTCCTCTTTAAAGTGCCTGGTGGTTTTCCTGCTGCTGCTGCTGCTAAGTCGCTTCAGTCGTGCCTGACTCTGTGCGACCCCATAGACGGCAGCCCACCAGGCTTCCCTGTCCCTGGGATTCTCCAGGCAAGAACAGTGGAGTGGGTGATGGTTTTCCTACTCAATCTCAATTTCTGTTTAACAATCACCATTAATGTTTCAGAAACATTGGGTGGGCTGCACACTGACGGTTCTTTATTCCCCAAGCTCTTTTCTTGGAATATTTTACTCTGTGCAGTTTAACAAGCTGTGCTAGGCTAGGAGTCAAGCAATCCTGACCTTATAACTATCTTGTCATAGCCACGAGGCAATAGATGAGGGCATGTCTGCTCAGCAAAAGGCCAATTCAATTGTGACATAAAACAGATGTCATGATCCAAATGAAAAACAAATAGTGGGCTCCCCATCCTGTCTATACCAGTCAGGTGGTACCCCCTTTCCACATCTCTACCCACTAAGTTATATTAGGAAACAGGTTACATAGAAAATGCAACATTAGAAAAATCAGAAAACATTCATTGAAAACACCTGGCCCCCACATTTGCACTGAGCTAAGTTCAGTGACATTTCTGTGCATACAGGAAATAAAGACAATCGCATGTTTACGCCTGTTTCTTTTAGTAGTAGCTTCAGGGGCCTTTTAATAAGAAGGTTCCACTACAAATAAAGATACAAAACTTTGGGGCAAAACCTTACTAAGAAGTTTAAGAGAGTGCATTTCTCTCTCATTGCTAAAGAAAGAACTTTTAGAAAGAGTTTCCCAAGGACTCTGAGAAGCTCTGGGCTGATGCACAAAAGCCCACATTCCCTTCTCCCCGCTCTCCGCGGTTCCTGACAGCTGCTAACTTCCTAAGGGCATCGGCAGAGTTCTGACAACCTTGCACGCGCCCTGTGACAGATGAGTAATGCAAGGTTAACCGAGAGACCAGAGGCGCGAACGCGGTGTGAGCTGAGGGGGCGAGGGCATCAACTTGGGTGAGGAACTCTGGCTTTTTTAGTTTAGAAAAGGCACCCTGCACCCCTGATTAGGGAAGCATGACGCAGCGATCCATGCCTCGCCTTCGCCGTTCTGATTCAGCATTTTTCCTCTCGGGAAGACGCCGGATGCATGAGCTCCGCGCGCTCCAGCTTTCTGAGCTGCGGCTGCTGCTTCTCTGAAAGCCATTCTCCCTTTCTTTTCCCACCCGTGTTTCCATTTTCTTTCCTGTGTATGAAACCCACTGGCCACGCGCCCTTCTCGGCTCCGTCCCGCCGCTGCCTCCGCAGAAGCCCACTCTATACCTTGGGGGTGGAGAGAAGATGCTCAGGGCGATGCGACACCGGTCGGTCAACCAGCCCCTGGGAGGAGCGGCGGGTGGAGCCCGGCCTGACGGTGCCCCGCGCGGGCCCCGAGCCCCCGGCGGGCCCAGCATCGCCGCCCGGGCCCTGGAGCTCCAGCCCCGCGGAAACCTGAGTACTCTCTGTCCTCCCCTCGGACGCCCTTCTCTGCAAGCCTGGAGTCCTAGCAGACAAGCGCTGGTGGCCAGACCGCGCGCAGCTGCTTCCAGCTGCGGAGAGGTGGGGAGGAGAGGGAGGTTCCGACCCCAGAGCCTGGTCTAAAACAGGTAGGGAGCCCACCCCGTCTCCATTTCTAAGGGAGTGATAGGATCAAGAAGCAGGCCGGAGCCCCAGAGGGCCGGCTCACCCTTGCCACTTAAAGTTGGCTTCATCCAATCAGAGCATCTTTATTGAGCGCCTGCTGTGTGCTTGGGCCCGCCTAGGAGCTTGAGAGGCTGTAGCGAATAAAATATTAAAACATCTCTGCTCTCGCGGAGCTTGTGTTGTTATAAGTCACTCTGATAGTCACATAAGTTCCTGTGAACATTTCTGGATGTGTTCAGCTAAAGTGTGAAGGCACAGAAATCCGAGCTTCTTTTTGTTTGGACAAATGTTTGCTGATGTCCCAAGGGTTTAAAGAGAAGGAAGGAGGGAGGAGAGGAGGAAGAAGAAACTTACAATGTCTCCAAGGAGTTAGTCCCTTTTTAGGAACTTTGGCTTAACCAGTTTAAATCTCAAAAAAAGAGCCAAACAAAAAAACCAAACCACTACCACCAACAAAAACAAAAACCAGCAACAAAGCAAACAAAACCAAACCACAAAAAGAACCCCTATTAACTCAGAAAAACTGCTTGGGCTTCATGTTTTCTCTTTGATCAAATCTACTGACCTCAGTTGCTACTTAGCAAAGAAGCTGGCTTTTATAAAGCTGAGGCTGGACAACTTCTTACCCAAGAGAGCCTCATGGGGTTCTGAAGACAGGCAGCCCCAATTCCATTCCAGTGTTGTCATTTACTATTAGGCATATATCCTTGGGCAGATTCCGTAATGTCTCTAATCCTCAGCTGCGCCTTCTGTAAAATGAGGGTTCTGTCAATAATAATTCCCTCCGCTGTATGCTGGAAGGCTTCATGGGGATGACATATGCAAAAGCATTTAAACCAGACCTGGCTTGTAGTAAGTGCTCGACAAGTGATATGATGGGAGTTACAGCACCTTTTACAATCTTTCCTCCTTCTGTAATCTGAGTGGTCAGAATGATGCGATGAATGTCATGTGTCTACACATTAAATTAGAAACTCAGAAATTCAACAGATCAGACTTTTAAAAAACACGTGTAGTGTCATTGATTATACATTTTAGAACTGGAAGTGACCTTAGAGTTAGTGCTGCATGCAAAAAAAAACCAAAATGTGTTGCCTTTAAATGAGTACATGCCCTAAAATCTCTCACAGAAAACCAAAGGAATGAATATGAGAAAAAGAATTGAAAGAGAACTTTAAGAGAATTTAAAGTGAGAGACACAGTGGCCAAGATTTTAAAAGGATGCGAGGATTGTTAGTAAGTATGATAAATAAGATTTCATCACAACATCTTTGAGAAGAAAGAAAAGAAACCAACCACCTGATCTATCTCTTAGGCTGGTTCTTACCTGTTATCAAAACTTCTGTGGCAATACCCTTGTTGACAAGCATGTTCTAGTACTCTGATAATATAAAAATGTAATCCACTATGAGTTTGTAAACCTTAAATTTTCTCCAAGTTAAATTCTTGAAGTTTATTGCTCTGTTCAACTTTTCTATTCCTGACAAGATTTTGAGTCTTTTCCATGTAAACTCAAGGGTAGCTTGTCTTATAGTTCTTACCTGGAAACATCTGTCTTAAAAAAAACAGGCAATAATATTTGCCACTCCAGATATCAATCACTCCAGTGATTGATAATGATGGTGACAATCAAATTCTATCTGATTGTGTACTCTAAATGAGGGATGAATAAATCTTTTTGTTGTTGCCATATTGTAAAAGTGAAGAAACCGTTTTTAAAAAATAGCCCAATATGTTGCATTGTGTTTTACTTGGCATTGGTAGTTAAAAGGCCTGTGTGAGAGACCACTATTCAGGAAAACATCACCATATGACATTTAATTGCACCTTTGTTTATGTTTGACAGTTCCATAGATGTTGATGGTGGATATGTGACCTTACCTAACGTTATGGTGGCACTTTTATATATACTTTGAAAAGTGTCATTATATCTATTATTTATTTTTGTAACAATGCTGGAAGGTGCACAGAATGGGTGTTACCCATTTTGCTAATAAAGAAAGTGAGCTTAAAGTTAAATAGACAATAAGCAGTGAAGTAGAATAGAGTCCCATGTGGTTGTTACCCTAAACTGTGAGTTCTTTTGATGGTGTTACTTCCTTTAAAGAGCAGGAGGGGAGCTGGGATTCAGAGTTAAAACCTGGCCCCAGGATATTAGTACTTTTTTTTTTCTAAGCTGGAAACTGAGCTGGTGGTTAGTGTAGGAGCTGCTGCTGACATGATTTTGTCCCACTGTTTTTTGTCCCAGAAGGGTACAGACTTCTGACTATGCTTATCATCTGGTTCAGAACTTTTTTGGTGTGGTCTATTGATTCAGGTCCTATAAAAATAATGAAAGAAATGAATGAGATGGTAGACCACACATGCTGATGCAAATGAGGTTCAGTTTACTCCACACGTGTATGCATGGATTGCAAGGGCACACAAGGGGTCCTGGGGTCTCTTCCTCCACATTAAGGAACTATTCATAGGCCTAGTGTGGCTTTCTTCTGAGGACCCTGGCCTGGGCTGGGATGTCACTTCTCTCCTAGATCCACCTGCTGTCAACTTGGTCTTTGACTTTACACTTACTTGAGCACAGCTTCTGAGAAGTGAGTCGTAATCATCCACTCTTATAGAAGGATCTGCCTCCCTCCAAAGCCTTGACAGTGTTCTGGATGGCGCCTCGGTACTATCAAGCCCCATTTCCTAGCCCTCCAGCACCATTCAAGGAAGACCACTATTCCCAGCTGCAGATTATCAAATGAGATGAGAATAAGGGGCAGGAGGAATCATGGGAAAAGGAGTTTGGAGAGGAAAAAAGTGATCAGGAACAAGGCTGCCACAGGGTGGCAAGAAACCGCGTCTCTCCCTCCATGACCGTGCGCTTGCTTTAACACTTCTCTCAGTTACACACCATTCCCTCACTTTCTCATAGGTACAAAAATATAAAACAATAAAGTGCAGTTGACATTTCAGTGACACTTTTCCTTGCTTTAGTATTTTTTTTTGTCTTTTTCTGCTTTTGAAATGAACTCTTGATTGCAGAATATCAGAGTACACTCAGAACTGCCAGCCACTGTGAGGGCAGCATGGAGAAGCCCACAGGTAAGGACAGAGAGCGGCAGGTGGCCCGAGGCGGGGGGTGATTGGAGCAGTGGTTATGGACGTTCACGGGAAGCTAAAACTCTCCAACAGGCATTGCCCTCACGTTAGCACAGGTTAAACCAGTCACTGCCTTGGCGGGTGGCCTCAGGGTGTCTGGGTTCAGATTCGACATGGCAATAACAACTTCTTCCATTAAGAGTTCTTGGCCTGCACCGATCACAGTGTGGCCAGAGGGCACCAGACCAGTCTATTGGTTTTTCAAAATGCTGTCGTAGACCTGATGGATGTACTGGGAGACCTCGGGAGGTCTCCACTTGAGTGACAGTGTGTAATTGGGGTTTCCTGGCTGGATACGCAGCTCGGCCAAAATCCAAATGCCGTTAGTGAGCTTCAGGGATTGGTACAACATGTCCTGCCCTTCTACATTCCTCTTGGCAATAGTATAAACATTGTTGTTTCGCAACTTGCTGGGAACAGTGTCAGCATTTAAATGACATTCCTTAATCTGAAACTGAAGTTCATTTTCAATGGGAATATCGTTCCACGTTGCGAGGAAGACCTGGCGCTCCCTTTTGCCCTCTTGTATGAAAAGCACATTGAGTGGGATGAGGCAGCTGCAGTAGAAGACATCAATATCGTTTTTCACAGCCACCTGCAGGTTGTTCAAAGGCTCCGGCCTCATGACTGGGCCCAAGGTGTTGAGAGGCAGGGGGACATCAATGCTCTGGTCTGGTGTCAGTGGTGTATGGCTGGCCAGAGGTGCTGGGGATGACACCAAAGCTATTCTTGTTAAACTGAACTGCAGAGTCTATCATGTGTTGCAGAGCTTTGCTGCTGAAGTTCATTTCCATACAGATGTGCTCTTGGCGGTGAGTAAATGTTCCTGAAATCGCCAGGCCTTTAGCCTTTACCACAGGCAGCCAGACAGCCTTAGGAGCCACATATCCACCAGGAGCCATGCCTGTCCCTGTGGAAAGTTCAAACGGGTCCTTCAGACCACTGCTGACCACAGCAGGAGTAGGGGCGGGGGCAAAGGTTGCGGGCACCGATGATAGGATGAAGGACTGTCCCACCAGACTATCTAGTCCTCCTCCCAAGAGATCCACTGCTCCCATCTGCATGGAAGATACCTGTGGCACATTGACTGGGGGACCAAGGTCAAGGTTTGAAAGATGCCCCAGAAGGTCACCCTGGGAGGGGACAACCTGAGGCTGTTCCAGGTTAGTGGTAATGGTACCAACAGGGCTGTCACCTGCACCGGTGCTCCCATAGTGTATTGGCAAGTGTTTGCGATGGATTCCATGACTTCCTTGCACAAAAGCATTGGGCGGCTTATGGTACGCTGAGGCCAAAGAACCAATGTGGCAGGTTAGCTCATCCAATAGAGTTGGCTCAATAAGATCTGTCTCCTCAGAACTCAGTGACTTCTCAGACAAGACTACTTCTTTAGCTGTGACAGGATCAGCTGAGAGAAGGCGCCAATAAATATAGCCCTGGTCTCGAAGGTCAGGATTATCAGAATCCTGTGTTGCCAAACTCCAGACCTGCTGTACCAGCTCCTGTGTTCCTGATGGTTTCTTGAGAAACAGCTGCACTATGGCAGTGAGCAGAGTGAGCTGCACTTGGGTGCTTTCATCATGAAAACCCTCCAGGAAGCTCTCTAGTAACTCATCTGCATTGTCAGTTCTTTCAGCACATTCTCCCACAATCCAAATCATAGCTGCTCGAGCGTCTGGCTCATCCAGTGAATCTAAGTTCTCACACAGTGTGGCCATGACACTTTCATATGTATTGGGGTATTTGCAGAAGATGTCCCTGATGACAAGAATCGCCTCTTGGACCACATGATTTACTTTGGTTTGGATGAGATCAAGCAACGTGCTCACACTGCACTCTGCAGATTTCTCCACCTTGACGGCAAACCACCCAGTGGCTTGCACAGCTTTGCACACACAGTCAACATCCACCTCTGTGGCATATTCTCCCAGTTCAGCCAGAACCTGAGTAATATTGGCTTGGAATGCCAAGCGAATCACGATGTCCAATTTCTCTAGTTTCACATAGATGGGATCGTTGTACTTCACAAAGAAAACTTTTATTTCCTGCTTCAAGATTTCAGGCCTTTTCTGGACAATTAGGTTGATGTTCCTCAGGCGTATTGCACCTCTGGCTCCCCAGACAGCTGAGTGACAAGTGGAGGGGCCAGCTTCTACAGCAGCATATTGTAGTAGTCGAGAGTCCTTGGGTAGCAACTCTAGAAATTTCATTAGGACTTTTACTGCTGAAAGCACCACTGCTGGGTTGGCATGAGATAACCTGGGAGTTACCTGCTCACAGATGCTCTGAGCCTCCCAGTCGTCTTTAGGATTGTGACTAGACAGGCAGTCCAGGATGAAAATCTGGCCCCATTCCGTACACTCATTCAGGGCTGTCAGTAACTTATTAATGTTCTGTGGATATAGATCGGGTAAGTTGATGTTGGGGTGAGATTCACTGATTTCAGATGATGCTGCTACAGCATTAGCTACCACCATTGGATTTGAATCTGCTAATGAGATCCCTCAGAGAATCCAGAAATTCCTGATCTCCCACCATCTGGGCATTGATGTCATGGAGTTTTGCCACACAGACTGCTGCTGTCTTCCGGACGTAGGGATCGCCATCCTTTAAGCACTTGCAGAGGGACTCACAGAGATATTCTGTAATCTTGTCCACCTGGATGCACCCCATGGTTCTGACTGCCAAGGCTCGAATCAGAGGATTGGGACCTTCAAAGTCCTTCACAAAGCTGTTGACAGCCATGATGGCCATGTCTGGCTGACTCTTGGCATCAAGTAGAGATACACAAGCTTCTTCAGTTCAAGGTTGTCCATCTGCATATAGTTCACTACATCTGGAAAGAGAGAGCTAGCATCTTTCCCCACAGTCATAGCAGCAATCACTTTCTTCACAGCCTCCTTCCTCTTTTCTTTCTTCTCACTGTTGAGTTCAGCATTTAATTCCAAGATTTCTCCCTTTTTTATTGGTTGTGAAGTACTTGGAATCGGTCATGCTTTTGGATCTTTAATGTGCACCATAGGCAAGTGCGGGGCGGGGAGGGGCAGCAGGGGCCAGAGAGCACGGCCTGAGCGGTGTTATAGTGGTTTCCTGCACGTCACGGCTCCTTCTCCAGGTCTAAGCCCCAAAACTTTGCTTGTTAACAAGTCCCCATTTGCCTTCTCACGGCTGCTGAATTTCACCTCACTGACTTGTCTTATATGGCTCCCAATTTCTAAATGATTAAAAATTATTCTCCACTGCTGATGCCAGCCCTATTTCAGAATGATTTTATAATCAGTATAAGAGCATTTATTTTAAAATAAATGACCAGTAAATGGATCAGTTTTAATTACTTTCATGGGTTCCCCCCCAAACATCAGATATCTAATATTTGGTATTAAAATTATTATTAAGTTCATTCAGAAACCATGTTGGTGCCAAAACCAAAAATGAGCAACCAGAAATACTCATTACTTTCTCTTCAGTTTTGAGAAAGGTGGATGGAACACACACAGTGGAGCTGTTTTCCACGCTTTGTCACAATGCCAAGCAGCAGAGAAGACACAGTGGTTCCATGAAACAACTCCCTTTTCGTTTATTTTGGGTGACTATGAGTTGTTGATATCTTTTATATTCTTTAAGGGGCCTTGGCATATACATTCTTTTCAAACACTCACAGGGGCTTATGTCAAAAACTAACCATTAGCAATGAGGTCAGTGCAACAATTTATACTTTTTCCCCAAGTTTTTGAAGAATAATCATAGATTATCATGTATGCTATTTTAGTAACTATGAATCATTATGATCTCGAATGTCTTAACATGAAAAATCAGTTGACTTTTCCTTTCCTTAGGTGAACTTCTTTACATTATATTTGCACATAGCTGGTTAGTCTCTGATAAGGTTTTATCTGTTAAAGTGTTAATAAAACTTTTTTCAGTGGCATTTAAATGGTATTTTTAGGAACATGTTTAAAGACATCCATTTACATTTGACAAAGTGCTCAGAGACTTGAAGAAAGTATTGAGCGTAGGAAGACAAGTGACGAACTTGACGGTATTGACAATATTCTGCTCAATAATCTCTCAATCATGTTTTGAGTGCAGTTGCCAAGCCTTGACAAATACTCTTGAAGATAGCATATGGTAAAATTGTAATTTTACACCTTGTAGAAGTTATAGTTTTCTGCTTAAAGAGGGTTGTAATGAGCTAATTAATTTTCTTTTCTTGGGAAACCAGTCAAACTAGCTAAACAACTAACTTGAGAATTAACCAAGCAGCCAGTTAACCAACCAAAAAGCGAACCCACATACTACACACCAATAATTATTCCAGGCATTGGGGGAACAAAGATGGACGAGATGTCATCCCTGTCAGTGAGGTGAGATGTTTGCAATATTGTGGGGAAAATAAATAAATAATTGCAATACAGCATGGAATGGAGGTATGATAAATGCGTTTCCAGATAGAAATAAAGCATGTAAGTTCAGTATTCCTGAAGGAGGTCTACTTCAATGGGTATATTCATTTGAAGGATCAGGATTTTAACAGGTTAGTAAGGCAGAGGACACTCAGCCTAACTTTCATTCTTTGAAAAACCAAAAGCTACTTTTGTTTGGATTTTAGGAGTGATAGCCACTATGACTCACTGGTGGTGGTGGTGTGGACCACCACCTTTAATTTTCGGAATGAGAACTACATACTGTCTACTAACCAGTTATCCTGAGCATGATTGTGCATAATAATCCATACATAAGTGAGAGAAGATAGATGTTAATATCCAACTCTATCCTCAAGAACTTGTGAAAAACTTTGATGTAGCAAGTTTAAGTAAATTGACTGGTTTAATCCAGTTGATATTTCTTCTGTTGCCTCAGGTTCAGTAACCCTCTGATATGTCTCCAGTGCCTCTGAGACAGAAATGCTAGGACCTTATTTTCAGTTTCAGCTAATTCACTTGCTAAAGTTTTACTGAGTTCAGTGTTTGGAGGGATAAAAGCCTTCTAGAATACTCTGAGAAGTACATGGTGCTTACAACTCAGGTAACTATGTATCTTAGTTTGCCTGGGACAGTTTCATTGATGACTTTGTCTCAGCATGATTATTAATAGTGTCTAAGGCCAGCTTTGTGAGCCCCTGGGGCAGCCACCCCTGTGTTCTATTTGTTCTTTGGAGAAGGGGTGGGAGTGTTATGGTTGATTCCCTTCGTCTTCAAAATTAAGTGTAAACTGGAAACAAAGCAGACGTGTGGGTACCGTGATCCTTCCGATGGGGCACCATTACCACCCTCCTTGGGAGCGGCAGCCCAGGTTTCTAAGGCTTTATCATTTATCATTTCATTTCCCCCTCAAATGAGCTTCACGAACACACACACACACACACACACACACACACACACACACACACACGTTCTTTGAGAGCACAGAAGAAAGCATGACAAACCATGAGGGAGGACTCTGATTAGACTTGGCAGTGGTGGTTAGTGGATTTGGAGGGTGAGTTGGAGAAGAGGGTAGGGAAAAACTATCTCATGTATGCAAGGCAATCATTTGGATGTGTCTTCTTAACACAAGTCACAACATAAATGTTACTGCTATGAATCATAAATGTGAAACTTACAGCTAGTCAAATAAAAATATACTAGCAGACATGCGCTCAATGGTAAAGTTAGCAGTCTGCATACCCAAAAGGATTCTTTACAAAGAGGTCCAGCCCAGTAAGTCCATCAGCATCAGGAACAACTCACTCCCCCAGGCTTTGGGAGGCAGCTGGAGCAATCATTTTGCATGTGCTCCACTGAGTAGCGCCTCTCCAATCTCGGGTTTTTCATGGCTCTGTTCTTAGGGAGAAGAGAATTCTCAATTTCATCGCAGTTAGCTATAGTGAGTTCATTTTAAAGAGAGTTTATGAAGCATTTAAAGATCACATTTTTTATATTTCCAGCATTATAGTTTCAACTTATTATTTCAGTAATTTATAAATGCCCTTCATTTGGAATGTTGCTGTTGTTCAGTTGCTAAGTTGTGTCCTACTCGTTGTGACCCCATGATACAGATACTCAAAAAGTGGTTTAATTTATTCCACTTTTAGTAAAGAGTCATTTGAAAGCCAAAGGAGAGACTGACGAAAACTCACTGGTTTACTATCTTCTCAATCCTGGCAAATTTCATCTCTTCTTATTTCAAAGGTACACTGTACCCTTGTGTACTGAGCAAAAATAACTCTACTGTACAGTAAAAATGTCATAAGGTACTTGACAATTTCCAGATTACAAAACATGTTTATAGAAGAATTGATATTAAAGTTTAGAGGAGCATCTAGAACCAGTCTTAATAAATATAATCTTCAAAAGAAATTTAGGAGCAGCGTGATAAGGAAGGCAGTTCTAGATGTGAATCTAGGTGTGAATTGGAATCAAATCTAAGGATGTTTTTTACAAGTTGTGTGCTCTGTGGAAAGTCATTTATTGTTTTCAAGTCTCAAGCTCATTGTGGATAAAATGGGGACAATAAAACTTGCCCTACCCACTTTACAAGGTAAACAAATATGATTAAATATAGGAAAGTATTTTATCAAGTGGAAGTACTTCACTTCCTTCAGTCTATTTGGAGGTACTATACTCCTGGAAGAAATAAAATACATCTACTTTCAAGGCTGAGCTTCTTAGTCTGCCTCTCTTTCCTTTGACAATTTCACTCCCTCTTTGCAGACTAAAGCCAAATAAGTTCAGGTCAACAAGAATTTATGATGACTCTGTCGGAATATAGCAATGAAGGTGGGGTGGCCAGGGCTGCTAGTCAACAGACGCTTCAAAATGCTGGTCTTTGTCGATTCTCCACCACTGGTTCTTGCTCTTACCAGTGGCTGGAGTCGTTGGGCACAGAGATAAGTAAGACATTGCTCCTGCCGTAAAGAGCTCACAACCCAGTGAAGGGAACAGACACACACCTCGACTCGTTTGAATATATTGCAATAAAGAGACAGTCACAGAGGAAAATGGAGGCACTGAGCTAAGTCTGACTCTCGTCAGGTAAGTTTAAAGAGAGATTTTAGGTGCGAAGGATATCACAGGTGTCAGAAAGCCTCTGTAACAATCATTATGACAGATTTTGCAGGACTTACAGTTGGGACAGAAATTACAACTCCTTGCTTGTAGTGTAAAAATAACAAGAGCAAGTTTTGTTGTAGGACAGATTTGTGCCTAAAACGCATGATGTCAATTGCTATATTTCTGGGCTTCAGTTTCTTTACCTATGATCCATGGGTAATAGTATCTACTTCAGACCACTGGAATGTAATCTCTATGAGGGAAGGGGGTTAAGCCTCTTTTGTTCACTACTGAATCTCCATCACTCAGAAAATGGTAAGCACTTACCTGGCCCATAGTGAGGGCTCAATAAATAATTATTGAAGTTGTTGAATAAATGAAGGAAGCTATTTGGCTTCCAGTGTTTACTTTTTAGCTAGCTTTATTTGAAAAGACACAATAAAGTCAAGGAGATGTTGGAGAGGACCCAGTGGTTTACTGTATGCTTTTCAATTCTAATTTCACCTGTCTTCCAAATGGGTATTTCGAAGGTACACAATATCCTTATGTATGGAGTAAAGATAGCTTCATTATATAGGAAAAAGAAGAAAGTTATGTGAGCAGGCTATGCTCATGGTGTTTCACCCATGTATATCCATGCCATCTGCCATGTTTCAATGTCCACCCATACTGAGAAGTTTGCAAGGGTTTGAGCACTCAGGTCTGTCTATGAAG